TCTGTTGGAAATGTGTCACTGTGGGGGTGGGCTTTGAGGTCTTTTTCTCAAGCTTCACTCAGTGTTTCTTCTTGAGCATTTTTTGAAAGATAGGATTTTGCCCCAGATAGATGAACTGAGTTAGCAAGCAGTTCTCCAGGGTTTGAAGATCTTGGGTAGGGACTGTCTTTGCACCTGGTTGCCCAGATGAACCAGATCCAGATGAGAAGCTGGGGCGGGGGGGGTGATAGAGCTTTCCTTTGTGATATTACTGATTGTTTTTGGTTAAGCTTTACCTCTCGGTATTTAAGACATGGAGGTCAGTTGAACCTTGACTGACATTCACTCATTTGCTTTCTCTAGCTGTGGTGCCATTGGCTGCACCTTGCTGACCCCATGGCTTCCCATGCGGAAAGGAGACTTCTTACCCTTTAGTGACCCTTTGTAGGATGATCACTGGTTAGGTTTCAGTATCTTAGGTCTCCATGGTCTCTGATCAGAGGTCATGTGACTTGCTGTATTGTGGGGTCCTTTTATTTTAGAGAGGTGTCATCATCCCCTCCATCCTAATCCTGGAAGGCAAGAGCCAAAGCGTCAGCCTGCCTTTGACCACTTTGTCCTTGTAGGTGTAGGCCTCCAGACGTCAGCTTTAGCACCTCACGGGACAGTTTTACTAGTGAAGCTGTGAATTTTAGTTTTCACCTAAGTATGCCATTTAGACCACACTGCCATGTGAGTTTTCTCCCAGCTTAGTGAACCAGTGAGCATGCTGTGATGACTTACAGGAGCAGGGTAGGTTAGCTGCTGTAAAGGTTGTAACAGTGTGGCCAGAGTTGACTGCTTGGACCGTAGCTACAGCTCTGTTTCCTGAAAAGATTAACACCAGGGAGGCAGTGTCATCCTGTTATCTGCTGGAAGGAGACCCTAGCACCATACTACACACACACACACACACACACACACACACACACACACACACACACACACAACAGTGGTCAGATGTGTGTGGCACACAGTGGCCACCTCTGGGTAAGAATTAACTTGGAGTCCCTTATTCTCGGTCCCCCTCCCCCATGATAGGAATACTGCCATGTGTGCCTGCAGAGGATGCAGGTAACCATGATAGCATCTGAGAACTATAGGCAATGCAAGCCTCTCAGTACCAGTCTGTCTCCTCAGAGGACAAATGTTGGGCATGCCCTTCAATGTGAGTGGCCCAGTCATTAGATGAGCAGCTGAGGTCTACTGTCCTACTTAACCTGCCAGGGTGTAGCTTTCTACGTGGTGGATGGATTGCTACATCATTGACGGCAGCAAAGAGGAGCAGTTTCATCAAGGAAACATTAGCCAGACCTCCAAGAGCATCCTTGAGTCCTGGTCAGAGATTGGGTAGCTAGTTGCATGTTGGTTCTGTAGAATTAAGGCTGGAGCAGAAGAGCCTTCCAAAGCCCAGCGGACAGCCCAGGTTTCAGCTCAGCAGAGGCATCAGTGAGCCGAGCCCAGCATTGAGACTATGTGAAGAGACACACACGGTCAACAGTTCTACACTAGGCAGCGGCACTGGAGATAAAGTCTCCCCTAAGAGATCACTGACTTCTCATGTCATCTACAGATGCCTCTGGAAACCAGATTGCAGCATTCTTGTGTGTTCCACTTCCATTTGACAAGTAATGGGCCCAGGGTTGTCACTCGTGAATAATCATGACATAATTTTACATGAGATATTTAGCAAAATGAACTTACCCACATATGTCAACAAGGTAAGATTTATTCCAGGGATACAAATTAGATTACTACCAAAAATAAGGCACTGGCAGTCCCCTGCTCCCAAAAGCAATAAAGGGACTAATGACAGAGGAGAGACAGTCAGAACCTTACTCCTAATCAACCAAAGCTGCTGAGGTCCGAGGTTAAGACAGCGGAGACCTGTCCACACTGCCGGATCCCTGGAAGCACCCGCAAAATCTGGATGGGGGGAAGAAGTTTCATAGGACTTGGGATACCATAGCTGTGGTCTGGTTTTACCTGTAAAGGGCTTTTCACCAAACCCTTGGCTGTGCGTGGGGTGAGGTGGACAGCCTGATCTGAAAGACTTAGAAAGTGCAGCCAGGGCTCAGAACTGCCGTGAGGCAGGCTATCAGCAAAGCACGCCCTTATGAAAAGGGTGTTGTCTGCTCTGTGTCCATGGAAAGATTTGTTCACTATCCACCAAAAGAAAGGAATCGCTGTCCTCTCCTGTCTTCCCCACCCCCCTCTGTGTGTGTGTGTGTGTGTGTGTGTGTGAGAGAGAGAGAGAGAGAGAGAGAGAGAGAGAGAGAGAGAGAGAGAGAGAGAGAGAGAGAGATCTGTTTCTGTTTCTGTCTGGCTCCCTCTGTGTCTCTGTCTCTGTCTCTGTGTCTCTCTTTGTCTCTCTCTCTCAGCAGAGTTTTTGCAGTTCATTATAATTGTAAAAACATGGGGTTTACAAAGCTTCGGGTCTCTCAGCTGCGGCACAGAACACCGAGAGAAGTGTCTGTCTGTGACTATCTTCCCACCACCCCTGCAGGATCTGGGGGATGAAAAGACCCGGCATTGACAGAAAGCCCCTACTGCTTGCTGTGCTGTGGACAATAAAGTCATTTGTCTCTGATCTAGGAACCTTTATCCAGCACCCAGGAAACTATGGCAGCTGTGTGCATTCACATTGTACAAGGTGTGCTTCACATGCAGATGCATTGTGAAATCGCTACCACAGTTAAGTTCTTAGACTGTCCACCACCTCACATAAGGCCATGAGAGTGAAAATATGTAAGACCTCTCTCATAGCAGATTTCAAATGTCCGGGATGCTTTCATTAACTATGGGAGCCAGGCTGTGCCGTATCTCCCCAACTTATTCATCCCGAATCACTATTAGAGTGTTCGAGTCATTCGCATTTAGTATAAGTGCCAATATGTATTTTGGTTTGAATGTGTTGTCCTGTTTAAATCTAAATGTTATCTTGCCTTTTCTTGTGTATCAGTAGGGTTATTTCCCCTCTCTGGAGTCCTTTAAGAGTGTTTGTTGTTTTATTTTTTCGTTTGGGGGATCTTTTGTTGTTTTTTTTATTCTGTCTTCCCTTACCCTACAGTTTACAAAAATGTCTGCGAGTTACTAGAATTGAAGTCGGTACTTTTACCATCTGCTGTCCAATAGAAGGCCTTCAACTTTACATCACGTGATATAAACTGCTAAAGTTCATGCCGTTGCTGGCATTTGTTTTAATTTACATATAATTCAGTCCCCAAGAGACATTGCTAATTACAATTAATCAATATTCACTCACTTTTACCAACATATTTGTCTTTCAATTTTCTTCATTCCGTTTACATCCTGGCTTCTACCCAGGATATTTCCCTGCTATGATTAATATGCATGCTGCAGGTCAGTGGTAATGAGTTGTTTCTTCCAGTCTATCTGAGTACAGAATTCTATGTTGTTATCAGTTTCCTTTCTGTAAGAAACCATGCTATAGGGAATGCTTTCAGCCTATCAGTCTGCAGGAATTCACACCCTCACTGCATGAAGTTTCCCTTTGTGGGATTCTCCCAGAGTGTTTTGAACTTTTATTTTGTTTTATTTTTCCAAGACAGGGCTTCCCTGTGCAATAGCCCTGACTGTCCTGGAACTCACTCTGTAGACCAGGGTGGCCTCAAATTCACAGAGATCTGCCTGCCTCTACCTCCCAAGAGTGCTGGAATTAAAGGCATGGCCACCACCACCCCAGCAAGTTTTAACCTCCCATCAGCCTTCGAGAGTGCTTCACATTGGCAATAGATCTGTGCCTAGGTCATTTCTGAATGGTTATAAACGCTGTTGCATTTTTGTTGTGACTTACATGTTATTGAGAATATATAGAAATACAATTGATTTGCAAATATGGATCTCATCTCCTATGACCTTTAGAAACTAATTACAGGATTTTGTAATTTCCTTCCAATTCTCTACATAACCATCATATCATCTGAAAATAGGGCTGTTACCTCTTCCTTTCTAGTCTAACTGCAAATAGTATTCTTAGCGCCTCTCACTGGGAGGATGTGTGGTACTAGGGTCCACATAGATGCTCTAGTGGGGGCTTCCCCTCTTGTAGAAGAAAAGCACATGTTCTTTCACCATTCAGAATGCTGCATGGACTTGCAGTTGTTCCTGTCAGAGTTCAGGGAGCTCCTCCCTAGTCTTAATCAAGAAGAGTATTGACTTTCGTTAAATGGTTTTTCTCCATTTATGTGAACAATTATCTGACCGACTTCTGTAGTTTATTGTGATGGATCATGTTAACTAATTGATATTTTAATATTGAGCCAACTTTACACCCTTGGAATCAGTCTCACATGATCACACCATGTAATTCTTGGTATCTATATCTGAGAGCAGTTTGTTTACATGTTGAAATTTTTGAAGCATATTCATGAGAGATTTCTGCCTATATCCCTTGGTCACTAGGCCTGGTTTTGGTGTTAAAGAGCAAGTATATTGTATAGTATCATTTGGTTGGTTGGTTGGTTCTTGAAACAAGATCTCACTGGACAACTCAGACTGGTCCCATTTATGCAATCCTCCTGCCTCAGCCTCAGCACTGATTACAGGTATGAGCCAACCATGCCCAGCTTGGATTGGTTTGAGTGTGTCTCAGTTCTTTATCTTTGCTGTTTGTTCTGGCTGTTACAATGCAGACACCGCCTTGTCAGAGCTCACCGCTATAAAGACATAGCCATGTCCAAGGAAGCATATACATCTTACCTGCTTCTGTGATCCCTCATTCTCCACCATTCATCTGGCTGTCTTAAATACAGACACTGACATGAACTTTGTAACTTCTGGTTTCAAAAGAAGACAAGCTTATTTTACCCCACCCCACCACATCACATTTTTCTCTTTATAGTTTCAGAAAAGGAAACCTCTCATTGATATTTGGGACTGTGTATCACACACACACACACACACACACGCCTGTTCTCTGCCTTTCTGAGCTTCTGTTCTAATGTGAACTTCCTTTCCAGGTCGCCTTAACTGGTGGTCTACTGTGTGCACGAGCTGTAAAAGGCTTCTTCCTTTGGCCACGACAGGGGATGGGAACTGCCTCTTACATGCCGCCTCACTGGGTAAGCACCCCAGCACCAACAGAGGCCAGGAGGGCTCTGGGTCTATTTGATGCATGGTTAACAAGTAGAGCCTTTCATGCTGTTGTCATCAGAATGCCTGTGACATCCTGGCCCTTCTGGCCAAGCCGTGTTGGTGACAAGACAGAGCACTGTGGGGTAACTGCCTGTCTTGCTAGAAGACCTTGAACAGGAGCTTCAAGAACAGCACATAGAAAGGGTACTCTGGAGCAACCTAAGAGGGCTTCCTGGAGGATGCTGGGTCTTTACTGACACTGTGGGCAGGAGACAGCACAGACAAAGCAAAAAAGGTGGAAATCATGGAGTGTTCAGGGGCAGAACTATGCTGGTTGCGGCTCCAGCAGGAAGACTTGGGAGCAGTGTGTGGCACAGGGTAGCTTGGGGGCTGCCTGTGGACAGCAGTCTGTGATGAGAAGGCAGCAGATGTTGGCATCTTCAGGTAATCACAGTTAGGTACACAACACATGCATTCGATACCTTCTCCGGGGAAACCCATCAGCAGATACACAGCTGCATGAGGCAATGTTAGATAACTCGAGGTCTCAGTAGACTTCCTAGAATCTCTGTCCTCCCCTCTAACACCATCTCACCCTGTGACAGGCAAGTCTAGATTTGTACCAAGATCCTGAACATCAAATCCATGTCTTTCATCATTCCTAGAGGACTATCTCTGCCAAGGGTACAGAACCCCCAGATAAGAACATGTATCTTACTTTTTGTTTTTTATTTTTCGAGACAGGGTTTCTCTGTATTGTTTTGGAGGCTGTTCTGGAACTCTTCTGTAGACCAGGCTGGCCTCAAACTCACAGAGATCCGCCTCCTGAGTGCTGGGATTAATGGCATGTACCACCAACGCCCGGTTGAACATGGCTCTTACTATCTTTCCAGTTAAACATGATCTGATCAAGAGTCAGGCCCACATCATGTTTAGACCACAGCACAGTCTGCTCAGTACAAGGCAGGCCAAGAGGATACTGGAAAGAGTTCTGAGCACAGTGCCTCAGAGCGTGGCCCAGAGAGGCCCAGCAGCCTTGAGACCTAGATAAGTCCATGGACGTGGTGGCAGCAAGCGGGAAAGAAAGGCAGTCATCCCATGCCTCCTCCCCACAGTAGGTCCAGCACATTCTGCTGATGCCATTGGGCATGCAGGGGGCACACCTTTAATCCCAGCACTAGGGAGCAGTTAGCTATGAGTTCAAGCCCAGCCTGTTCTACATGGTGAGTTCCACGATAATCAGGTCTATATAGTGAGACCTGCCTCCAAAAGCAATGAGGACAAAAACAAAGGCTGCCAAGAAATAGACTCGGTCTCCTCCAGGGATGAACTCCCTATTGGATTGTCCAGTCCCAAACTGCCAGCCCTAAACATGTATACATATAAGCAATACTAAGTGAACTCAGCAGGTGAAATGTATGCATGTATGTGTGTATGTAACAATAAAAAAGATATGAGGCCATGAATCTGAGGAGGAATTGGGGAAGGAGACACAGGAGGAGTTGGATGGAAGAGACAGAGGGAGAAACGATGCAAATATAGTACTCATAAGAAACTCTCAAAAAATAAAAAGCTCAGAATCAAAATTTATTTAAATTTTTTAAATTAAAAAAAGCCCACTTCTCAGCAACTTCCTTGGTTAGGTCTCACTCTTCCAAAGTTCCACAGCTTCTCAAAACTACCATCTGAGGACCAAACATTCAGTCGCCTGAACTTGTGGGGGAAATTGGCATACAAACCCTGACAGGAATCCCCATTTTGCCTGCTAGATCACTTGCAAACTTCTACTGTAGTTAAATATATCAAGGAGTGTGTTCCCAAGTGTGGCAGCTAGTAGTGCCATGGATTGTGGAATACTTGAATGTAGCTGCTACCAATAGAAGCACTAATAACTCTACAATGCACCTAGACTTTGAAGCACTAATAACTCTACAATGCACCTAGACTTTGAAGGCGTCACATGGGAAACAACATACAGTATCTTATTATCTATTCTTAATGATTATATACTTAAAATGATATTTTGATATGTTGAACTAAATGAAATTTGTTATTAAAACTCAAAACAACATTAAAGTTTTAATTACTTTATTGTAATGAGCTCACAAATAAAAACTTGTAAAAAAATCACAAAGATGAAGGTAGCCACTCAAATATTATACATCTCCAACTCTTTTGTATTTCAGTAAACTTATATATAGGGTTTTACACTTTAGCTACCAATTACATATTTATGGAGTTATCCCCCACAAAAAGAAAAAAACTATGGCAAAGTTGAAAGCAGAAAGGAGAAAAAGGGAAAGAACGAACTAGAAAGAATTCATTCTGCGGCCACATTGCTCATAAGGAAACTAACCCCAATTGAGGGCCACTACCCCATGTTCACTTCCAAATCCAACATTTTCTACTTACCTTTTTCAACATGTCTTTTTTATTTTTAATTGACAATAATAGCTGTGCATCTTTATGGAGGGTTGGCCATCTTGAATTTTCATTACGAATTTCCTATCCCTTTCCTCCCCCAAAATGTGATTGGGTCATTGGGTCTTATTTATTGCAATACTCAATACTGTTTTCCTAGCGCTGTTCACTTTATTCCTGAAGCCTGGAGAACAGATCACAGGAGCGGCACTGCTGTCTCAAAGTCTCCTTGTGCCTTGTTGCAGAGGCTCCGGTATGGAGATGCCTTGCCCTTCACATACCGCGGTCCTCAGCAGCACCTCATCGGATGCTGTTTTCTCTATGAGCATGACGGACCTCTGAGGCATCCCTGCAGTCTCGCTCCATCTGCAGGAAAGGCCAGGTCATGGTTGGCCTGGACACAGGCTTGCTATCAATGCCCTGAAAAACAGGGTGCTTGGAACCCACCCATCCTTTATTCCAGTACAGGTTGTGTTCCCCTAATCTGAAAATACAAGAGCTGAAACTTCCTGAGCATCAACATGCCACCATAAGTGAAAAATTGTACAACATAAACCTTTGTTTCAAGCAAAAATCACTTTAAAATGTAACAGAAATTACCTTTAGGTCTGTGCACAAATACATAGGCAACATCAATGAACTGTATATTTAAACTTGCATTCTATCCCCAAGGTGTCTGTGTATGTCAACATCTCCAAATCAGAAGCTCTTCTGACCCTAGACATTTTAGAAAAGCGTTCTCAGCCTATACTTGCTTTGCATTGTGCTGACACAGCAAAACTCCACCCATCCAGGACTACCAGAAGCATCCATGGGACCACACCAGAACCATGGGGAACACCTTCTGACCAGGCCTGATCAAGCAGGATTATTGGGCACACATAGAAACAACGGTCACTGAGGCTATAGAGACAGCTTTGTCAACTCCTATAACTGTGATCTGGCGCCCTCTTCTGGCCTCCGAGACGACTGCATGTGTGAGCATGATTGCTGTGCGGCTGCCTGCATGCCTGTGTGTACACAAATACGTTTTAAAAATATATAAATATGACGGTTGTCCTGGAGACAGCTAGGCAAATATGTTTGAAACAAGGAAGCCCTGTGTGAGAAAAACCTTCAAAGAGCTGTGGAAGCATAGCCTGTCCAGGGGATGCCAGAAGGTGGGAGGAAAGGTGTCTGAAGATGAGAAAGGAACAACGGTGGCCATTTCTCTCCACCCATGCTATAGGAAAAGACAAAATCCTGAGATGCTACTGCCCATGGCAGTCTTTGGTTACTGTTTATCTAGAGGTCACAGCCCACAATCAATTCCATCCATACTCCAGAGGCTCCCAGCTCATTTGCAAGCTGGCCTGTTTCTTCTCTGCCTCATCCTCTCCATCCTGTACCTAACCACTCTACCTCTTGCCTTTTCAAAAAATGCACCAATGCCTGAGAAGAGCTATCTGCCTGGCATGGCAACTCAGCTCCCTTCTTTGCCCTTTTGAACCTTTTGTGGATATCTCCATCCACTCACACCATAAGGGATGCACCTGTCACACTGCCTTTACCCGCTTTTTCTCCCCTTGTGTTGTGAACATTGTACATTATGTGCTCATTTAATAGCTACTTCACTTCGTACTTCCCTACAATATATACTCACAAATTGTAGGAACTTTTTTGTGCCATGAATATTCCCAGCATCTGTGATGGGTGCATTCATGGATGCATGCATGGATGGATGGATGGATGGATGGATGGATGGATGGATGGATGGATGGATGATGGATGGATGATGGATGGATGGATGGGTGGGTGGATGGATGGATGGATGGATGGGTGGATGATGGATGGATGGATGGTGGTAAAGAGATGAGTGGGTACATAGCTGAATAGAGGATGAAGAGATGGATAGATAAACAGGAGAATGGGTGTGTAGGAGGGTAGTTGGGTGGATGGATCGATGGATCGATGGATAGATAGGTAGATGGTAGAGAAGTAGGTAGCTGGGTAGATGGTGTAATGATGGATGGATGGATGGATGGATGGATGGATGGATGGATGGATGGACGGATGGATGGTAGAAAGCTGAAAGAGTGCCGGGTGTTGGTGGCGCACGCCTTTAATCCCAGCACTCGGGAGGCAGAGGCAGGCGGATCTCTGTGAGTTCGAGACCAGCCTGGACTACCAAGCGAGTTCCAGGACAGCCTCCAAAGCCACAGAGAAACCCTGTCTCGAAAAACCAAAAAAAAAAAAAAAAGAAAGAAAGAAAGAAAGCTGAAAGAGTGAGTTTACAGCTAGACGGATTCTCCTTTCCCCTTGCTTAGCTCATTTCAATGTGCTTCTCATTGGTTGGGTTCCTTGACCATGTCCCAGCCACCCACAGTATGTACTCAGAGATAGATGGTTGTCTTTTTAGTCCCTCAGCACCTACCTTAATGGAGTCCTTCTCCCCAGGAAGCAAGGTCCCTGTAATGCTCCAGCCAGACATGTGCAGCTGTACCAACCGACAGTGCTGCTCAGAGAGTTCATATGCCCTATGACTTCACACATCATCTCTAGTGGGCCTTAAGGAAGCCAGAATCCTATTGGCCATGCTGATGTGGGGCCCTCCTTGAGGATATGTTACCAACTTGTCCCCAATCTCTTACCCAAACCCAAGACCTACGATGAGCATTTGGCCTCTCCAGAAAAGCCTGCAGGAGAGGGTAGGTAGCCTTAGGTCCCAGAGAGAGGCGGCGGTGCTAGCCCTTCGCCTGCTGTTGTTTTGTGAGGACAGTAAGTGCCGCCTCATTCACATATGTGAGCAGAAGGAAAGCACACATAACAGCATGCAGTTGGCGGAGGGCTGCGAGCCTGTGGTGACACTAAATGGCTGCCTGAATGTGAGCCTATGTGGGAGGCCAGCCTGCTGGGCTGTGACCCTTCCTATCTCCTTAGGCTCATCTCTTCTGTCCCTTCTTCCTGTGTCCCTCATGGCCTCCTGGCTGCAGGAATGTGGGGCTTTCATGACCGGGACCTGGTTCTTCGGAAAGCACTCTACACCATGATGAGGACCGGTGCTGAACGGGAGGCCCTGAAGCGGAGGTGGAGGTGGCAGCAGACACAGCAGAACAAGGAGGTTGGTACCCGCCTCTGCTGGAGCCAGGCTCCACATGCGGGCAGCCTCTGACTGTGCTGCAGTCTGGGTTCCACGTAGGGCAGTCTGGAGGAGCCCTGTCACAGGCTCAGTCCAGGTGGACAGCAGCACAATTCCTGCTCACACCTCCCATGCTGCTGTGGTTAGGAAAGCCTTCCTGCACGTTTACAGTGCCCCAGCATGGCTAATGGATTATGTAGATAGGCATCTGCAAAGCCCTTGCCCCCCCCCCCGATTCAGAGGAAATCTCAGCAGCCCCTAACCATTAGCACTTTTCTCCACAGGAATAATCTGCCTATATTCGGAGTAAAGTGGCCTGATGGCCCTTTAAGCTGTGCCTTGGTCAGCCCCAGCCAGGGTCACTCATTCTCACATATACCCAGGAGTGACCTTGATAATGGGAGGACTCCCAACAGCTCTGAAATCAAGGGCTGGAATTTCTGATAAGAGTGGTCATCAGGGGGACACTAACATGTGACCAGGCTGTGTCCTAGTGGGACTTAGGCCAAGCTGGGTGGCTGCCTTGGTGGGAGGAGGGGGTGAAGGCAGGTGAGAGGGGCTGCCTCCTGAACCAGCTTCCCTTCGCACCAGTCAGGGCTGGTGTACACTGAGGAGGAGTGGGAGCGAGAGTGGACAGAGCTGCTAAAACTGGCCTCCAGCGAGCCTCGCACACACCTCAGCAAGAATGGCAGCGGCACGGGCGGCGGGTGAGTGCTACCCTGCTCTCCATTCCAGAGCTCCTGGCTACTCAGGGCCTCAACGGGCTTGGGCGGAGAGGAAGCAACCCTGCAGGCAAACCAGGTAGCAGAAGACAGGAAGTGTCTATGATAAATGAGGCCACATAGGAGGGGAGGGGAGGCAGGACACATGTACCCACACTTCCTACCCAGGAGCTCATGAGAGCCGCCCAGCCCTGCCTGCCTCAAGCTCATACAGAGCAAACAGTGGTAGGTAGGGGACTCAGGGCATAGCCAGGCCTGGAGGTGGCCTGTGACAGTGGTCATTGCCACAGCTGTCATTGCATACACAGGCCTGTGAAAACACCAGCTGCCGCTTATAGAGTTTTTCTTTAATCTATATAGTGTGTGTTTTCAAGTCACACTGAAAGCAAGAGGTCATTAAACCACCCCAGTGCGTCTCAAATGGACTCCGTGGACAGGACGTGTGTTCCTAGCCCAAAGGCTTTGCACACTATGCATTCAAGAATAGCTTGTTCCTGCAGGTCGGCTCCACCGTGGGAATGAAGAGCAGGCCGAACCACCAGGCACACTGGAACATTTGGCCAATGAAATCTCAGAAGGGGCAGTCCTTGATTTTTGCTCTTTTGTCCCAAAGGAAAAGATATCACCCCAGAAAAAATGTCTCTGCCACAGCACAGAGAATGAGGACCGACACCAAGAACATGGATCTGCATGTATCCTGGCCAGCCTCAGGTTCATAGGCCAAGGCAGCCTCTGGGCTCTCAACACCCCACCACAGTGGGCCTGGGGCCCATTGGGCCTAGCCCCCTTGGGGCTCCAGCTGGAGGATGCGTTCCTCCATAGCCGGCAGTGGCACCATATGGAGCTGTGTTCCAACTTGAGACTTCAGTACAGAGACCCACAATTCCTATAGGCTGTTCATTGCCCATCCTGTGTCCAGGCAGGCATATCTGAACAGTTGAAGACTTTCCTGAAAACTTAGCTCTTGTCTGTTCCATGCCCTCCAACTCTCACGTGTTCCTTCCAGCCCAGTGTTTCCTCCACTGTTGGACTTCCCGTCACGCTTGCCAAGGAGAAGACCAAATCTCTTCTGGGGAAGCACAGGTGGGATAAAGGAGAGCAATAGCCATCAAGTATGACAGTCTGTTTTCCATCGCTATAGCAAGTTACCTGAAACTAGGTACTTATAAAGAAAAAAAAAAGCATGTACTATCTTGTTTAGGGAATAAGCAAAAAAAAAAGTTCATCCAGTTCTTTAGTGCTTAACTCTGTTGGTTGAATCTTCAGATGTGGAACCTACATGAATCTGTTTTGTTTGGGGAAAGGTTTGGATATATGTGCATTCTCGTGTGTGCAGGCACATAGATGTGCATTCTCATGTGTGCAGGCATACGTATGGGCATTCTCATGTTGCAGGCACATGTATGTGTATGTGCATTCTCATGCATGCAGGCACATGTATGAGCATTCTCATGTTGCAGGCACATGTCTGTGCATTCTCATGTGTGCAGGCACATGTATGAGCATTCTCATGTTGCAGGCACATGTATGAGCATTCTCATGTTGCAGGCACATGGATGCATGTAGAAGCCCAAAGTCAATGCCTGTTGTCTTCCTCAGTCACCCACTTCTTTATTTACTGAGATGCACTCTCTGACTGCACCTGCGGCTTATGAATTTGGTAGCCTTAGCTAGCCAGCTGGCCCTGGGAATCCCAAGTCTATATCACAAGTGCTAGGATTACAGGCAGTCAGCCACCACGTGTGCCTGCTTTTATGCCTGGGTTCTGAGGAGCCTAACTCTGGCCCTCACGAGTACAACCACTATATCCACCTGCCCAGCCAGAGCTATTTGTTTAAAGAAAAACTTGTTTAAAACATTCCTCTTCTACTTTCTTTCCTAAAAAAAAAAAAAAACAAAAAACAAAAAAAACCTTACTTTAAGTCATTTGGTGGACAAAGCAGAGGAGGGTGTCTGCAGTGGGTGGAGAATGGGAGAACACTGAGGACTGTAGCAGGCGCCAAGGGCAGACAGGGTGGAGACTGTGGAGCTGCAGCCGGGGTGGGAGACCGCTTACACTGTGGAGCTGCAGCCGGGGTGGGAGACCGCTTACACTGTGGAGCTGCAGCCGGGGTGGGAGACTGCTTACACTGTGGAGCTGCAGCCGGGGTGGGAGACTGCTTACACTGTGGAGCTGCAGCCGGGGTGGGAGACCGCTTACACTGTGGGCCTGGCAGCCGGGGTGGGAGACTGCTTACACTGTGGAGCTGCAGCCGGGGTGGGAGACCGCTTACACTGTGGGCCTGGCAGCCGGGGTGGGAGACTGCTTACAGGACAGGAGACATCTTCAGATGAGTAGGAATGGTGGGACAGTTCCAGGCAGTTCCCCACTCTACAGGAGGAAGTTATAGGAAGGATGGACTCCGTCAGGATCAGACTGAAACTGAGAGTCCCACGGCAGCTGTGGGACACGACACACCGGCACCCAGAGAGGACGGTGTATGTGCCAAGGAAAGAGAAAGTAATCCAAAAGAATGACGAGAAGATGTCATAAGGACACGGACCAAGATGACATAAGTGACGATGACCAAATCAAAGCTTATTTGTGTATCATAATATCACAAATGGATTATTAGTCATTTAGTAAAAGTGTAAGACCAGAACTCCACGGTGCTATCAACAAGCTTGTGAAAGAACGGAGATGTACAGAGGTTCCTAGTTCTCCAGTGGAACACGTTGGATTACAGATGTGAGCAGCTCTGCGAGGGTGGGGCTGGAAGAAGAGCCAGGGAGCAAGGCCCCACCACTGTGGTAGGACATCACACCACCCGAGCGGACAGTCGAGGACAACCCGGCAGATCGTAGGCTAACGTCATAGAGACCCAGACTGAGAAGGTTCCACAAGACACCTGCCCTGTAACTCCTCAGCATCTCAGAAGTGCAGTGCTGGGAAATATGGAGCAGCATTGCAGGCTGAAGAGACCTAGAAGAAAGCAGCTCATGGTCCTGCATCTTACTGTGAGCATGCCTGGTGGCTGCATGTTAGCTCTTCATTTGGATGGCTATGTCCTGGTGTGTCAAAGGTGACCCTGTAAACAAGAAACACTCTGACACCTCTCAAAGAGATAAAAGGCTGGAGAATAACTTCCAGATGGTTCTGTGTGACTTTTTGTGACTTCTTATTGCTGCCACATCTTTATCAAATAAAGTTAGTGAGACACCAAAGAAAAAGGCAAAATGGAAGGGAGGGAGGGAGGGAGGGAGGGAGGAGGACAAACATAATGTAACATCGGGTCTCCCTCAAAGGCGTGGCGCATGTCATAGGATTTACAGCTTTTGTTCTAGGAATAATGGAGACAGTTGGCCCAGCACTCTGTACATGGAGCTCTTTCCCAGCCGTCCCAGGCCCCACAGCCACCCCTGCTCCCTTGGTGTCTTCGGGGAACAGAGTCCAGAAGCCCCAGGATACTGAAAGTCATAGAGTCCATCTTCTCCTGGAGTACACTGTTATCACATTTAGGAGACTTACACAAGGTCCCACCATCTAAGAGTTCTGACTCCCTTCCCGGGGAGGGTGACCCTGTTGTTGAGGGACATCTAGGTCACAGTCTTCTGCCCCAGTGCCTCACAATCTGGATGGCAGTGATTCTCGGGGTCTACTCCACCCTGGAGGCTAGGCAGGAGCTTGGACCCAGGCTGGGGAGGTGGTGAGTGTGCAGCATTCAGTCTCCTCCCTTCAGGGCAGGGTTCAGGCAGGTTTCTCATGACCTCTTCCTGGGAACTGTTCTAGACGGTAGACAGGGTCCAGTGTTTGGGGTGCACAATCTCTACTCAGGGTCCCTCTGCTTTCTGTTCCCCACCCCAGTCTAGTCTCATGACAAGGTCACTGTTTTGTTCCCTAGTGTGGACAACTCTGAGGACCCTGTATATGAAAGCCTGGAAGAGTTCCATGTCTTCGTCCTAGCCCACATATTGCGGAGACCCATTGTGGTGGTGGCAGACACCATGCTGAGAGACTCTGGTGGTGAAGGTAGGTTCCTCAGGAAGCCGTATCTAGTGATGGTCCAGAAAGGGTGCCGTCTACCTGCACATAGGCAGTCACCATGTCGCTCTGACATACACCAAGACAGCATTATTTCATGTGTCTTTTCTCCCTCCGGTGCAGCGATGATCAGCTGTCCTGTCTATGAGAAAGCTGCCCAACCACCACAGACAGCACAGATCCCTCCAAAAGCCCCAGGCCCTGTTCCAGAGGTTCTGAAGGATAGGGTATTGGAGAGGAGAGGAGGTGGGCAGAGTGTGGGCGCTCTGGAGTCAGGAACTGCAGGGGTAGCAAAGCTGCTGCTGTCCGCCTACCGGAAGCCTGGCCCATGCATGGCTTCTTCTTCAATGACCCCTGTGTCCGTCACACAGCCTTCCCCAGATAGATAAGCACTCTGAAGCCCCCAGTATGGCTAGACAATATTCCCTTCCAGGTTCAGACTGAGATAGGGCATAGACCCTCACATGCCATCCCCAGGCCTGAACGAGTTCACGGAGCTGTAGGAAGATAACTGAGACGCCACAGGGCTGTCCATGCTCTGAAGAGGTAGAGCCAGGAGCTGCCCCACTCGGCAGACCCCACTGTTTCCGGCACTTTCCAACACCCCAGCACTGCCCACAATGTGATTCATTTTCCAGTCTCCTTGGTGGGACTGGTGTAATCCAGTTTACTCTTGCTGCCATTTTTGTCCTTGTTTTGTCACTTCTAAAGATGGCATCGTCCACAACATCTCTTTACTACAATGTGTCACTCAAGTGACCCTGTAACATTTACTCCACTTAAAAGTTAATCTATCCCACAGCAGAAGTCATGAACCCCTTGGAGCCCTGCCACCTAGGCTTCAGGCTTCATGCCAGAGAAAGACCAGCCTGGCAGTGGCTTCTCTGAGGGCAGAGGCTAGCAGAACGTGTGTCCTGCCCGGCACCACTCTCCTCCCTGCTGCTCAGCACTGGATCTGGCAACTGACCATAGCCTGCCCATGTTCCTTCTCTTAATTACAGCCCTCAAAACAGGATTCTTTTATTATTATTATTTATTTTTAAGTTTAAATTTAGATTAGAAACAAGGTTGCTTCACAAGTCAGTTCCAGGTCCCTCTCCGTTTCCCTCCCCTCCTCCCATGCCCTCCCCCCAACCTCCCCCAATATCCCCTCATTTCCCCAGGGAGGGTGAGGCCCTCCATGGGGGTGTCCATAGTCTGTCATTTCATCCAGGGCAGGGCCTAGACCCTCCCCCAAGAGTTCAGGGTGAGAGTGCATCTCTCATTCAAAACAGGATTCTTATGAGGACAGAACTGTCCTGCCCAGTACAAACTGAGTGAAGGGGAGGGGCTCAAGAAGGTCCTTAGAGACCATTGTAAAGGTCCCTGTGCTCTGCTCCAAGGAGGGTGCAAGTCCCACTCTGAAGCCAAAGGCAATGTTCTTTGTGATCAAACCCCAGCTGCTAGGATGGTGGTTTGGCTCAGTGAGGGTAGACTGCTTGCCTAGCATGCCTGAAGCACTAGTTCCATTCCAGCACTACATAAAATGGACATGCTGGTACATGCCTGTAATCCCAGCACTCAGGGGGCCAAGTCAGGAGAATTGAAAGTTCAAGACTATCCTCAACTATGTAGTGAGTCAGGGCTACGTGAGACCCTTTTTCAGTGGGGAAAAGAAAAGAAGGAAAGAAAGAAAAGAAAGAGCTACTGCTTGGGGCGGGTGCTCATGGACGTGGTCTTCAGGTTTCTCTTCCCTTTTTCCTCATAAGAGCATGAGCAGGATGGTGACTCATCCCACAAAGAGAGCACCTCTACTTCTGGTGTTCCACCTGATCTGCAGCTCAGGACCAGAGCTCTCTGGTTTATCCCTTCCGTTCCACAGAAGTTGTTTTCAAAATATGCACTAGGCACACTCAGGAAGTGTAGGTCCTGCCTGTGTATGAACATTCCAGTGACATCAGAAGAGAAAGGACAGCATGGACTTCTAGACGAGCTAGTGGGTGATATTGCTGACCACCTTGGGCAATGGTCTTAGCCCTGACCCTGCCACTCTTTTGACTGTGGTGTGGCTCTCAGGAGCAGGCTGCCCAGACAGATCACCATGGAAACCTGCCGTCCTGGCCCTGAGCACTAATTCTACTTCCCCTTCCCCCCATCAACTCACCCCTCCTTTTCTCTGTGCTCCCTTCCCCACTCTTCCCCTCCACCTCTACCCTGTCTGTGCCCACAGCGTTTGCACCCATCCCGTTTGGAGGGATCTACCTGCCCCTGGAGGTGCCTCCCAACAGGTGTCACTGCTCGCCCCTGGTTCTGGCCTATGATCAAGCGCACTTCTCAGCCCTTGTGTCCATGGAACAGAGAGACCAGCAGAGAGAACAAGGTTTGTCCAGCTCCTGAGACACAATGGGGTAAGGTGGTGTGGAGGAATGGAGGAAGCACTGGAGATGTGGTATGTGGGGACAACTACCTAGAGCACATGCACACAAAGAGCAGCTGTGGTGTCTGCATAGCCATGCTCGTAGGTATGCATATGTGTTCACTAATAGCAATAGCATTAAAGGTAATGGTCTACCTAAACCACTTAGAGAATGAGATGCCGCTGCCTGTACGTAGCTGTTGATTTCTGTCATGGGCATATGTAAATTTTCTCTATTTTAACTAATTTTAACTGACGCAAAGTCATGTGTATTCATGTTGTATTTCAGTGTATGTACTGTGTAGTACTCTAGTCAAGGAAAACATATCTACCTCCTCCAACATTTATTACTTCTTATGTTGAAAATGTTCAAAATCCTTGCTTCTAGCCTTTTGAAATACCAAATGGCTTTTGGTCAGCGATATCACCCACTAGCTCATCTAGAAGTACTTAGAGGGAATTTTAACTGTAATACTAATTATTGCTAATGTTCTGTGTGAATTTTTATATAGATGCAATCCACCTTAGATGGAGTTGGAAAACAAAGTCTCCTCAGAGCAAGTATTGGCAAGCTGTGGCCCAGCACTTAGTTTGCAAATAGTTTTACTGGCACACAGCCGAAATCATTGCCTGACATTTTCCCTGTGACTGCTGTGCAAGGGGGCAACAGAATGTGTGTGTGACCTGCTGGCCTCTGACATTCATTTACTAGCACTGTTCATGAAAGGCTTGCCCACTCCTGCTCACACTAGTAAGCTTTTGAACCAAAAGGTCAGCACTTTATCTGTGGGTCACTATAGTCAGGTTTCTCGCAAAAAGCTATCTCAGTGTTGATGGGACCAGCGCCACCTGCTATACTCAGAGCACAGCTGCAGCTGTTAGTAAGGCACTTGTGGAGCTGATGTATAGTCACTGTGCTGTCCTGTTGGCAAAGAGGACGTTCGTTTGCTGTCTGTGTTAGCTATGATGGATATGGGAGTGTCTGAGTAGAGCAGACAGGCTTTAGTGTTAGCACTCTTATTTTCAGTACAGACTGGGATTTTCCTCAGGAGGCTGAAGGTTAAGGAGATGGCATATGTTTTAGGGTCCCTGCCCTTAATGTGGTTCTAGGAAACCCCAGGTGGTTGGCACAGGGCTTCCACAAGCCGGGGTGACCATCCTAACTCTACACTGAGTGTATCAGAGCCTCCACATCCTGCCCCTTCCTGTGGACAGCTGGCAAGGCGGGACACAGAAATGTCTGGGCCCTACCTTCTCCTCCAGCCACTATAAAGCACCTTTCCACATATATTGCTGGCCTGATGGCCAGTCAGAGAGTCAGCAGGTCTGTGGGATGGGATCTGAATCCAGGAAATAGAAAGATCCCCAGCTCCCTCCCCAAAAACCAAATCAAACCCCAGCTCACATGCTGTATAGCCAGAAATGGGTCCCAGAATCGAAGGCAACAAACAGTTGTCCATCACTCACTCACTACCTCTGACCACCAAAAGATGCTCCATCGCCCAAGCCTGGGAGGAGCTATCTGCTTCCGGTGGTGCCTGCCTCCTTCCCCACTGATTTGCTTTGCTTCTGTTTTAGCTTAGTCTGAGATGTGGTCTTCCTATGTTGTCCAGGATAGCCTCCAAAGCCCTGTACTCAGTGATCTTCCAGCTTCAGCCCTCTAGGTTCTGTGTAGCTCACAACCAACTCTAACTCCAGTTCCAGGGAACTGATACCCTCATCTGGCCTTTGAGGGCACCAAGCAATCATGAGTTACACATATGTACATGCAGGCATTTACAACATGTACATCAAAGTAAATCTCTAAAAATTAAAAGAGAAAATGAGTCGCCATACCAGCCCCATCCCTGAGGCCAGGCAGCTTTCTTACCCTGGGCTTTTCCCCTCACAGTACACCCTAACACCAATTGGACATCTTCACAGGAAACAAAGCCCAGCTCATAGTGATCTAGGCTGGGTGTGTTTGCCTTGCAGCCCAGAAGCATACAGCCTTCCACCTGGGGCTTCCAGGACCAGTCTCCATGTCCCCCTTGATTGACCATGTGGTTGGGTCTAGGATGGGAAGTCAGGACAGAGATCCAGGATCATCACATCTTGCCAGAAAGCAAGATGCTGCCTAAGATACCTGTGTGTTGTCAGAGGGCAAGTCCAGATGGAGAAGTGCATGATGGGCAAGCAGGGATGATGATGATGGACTGAAGGGGCCCAGGCCTCTCTAGAATGGCTGCATGCTGGGGATTTCCTCATCACGTGATAGGGTGCTCTGGGCCACTGTCCTGTGAGAACTAGTCTTTGGAGGAGGGTAAGCCAAATCCTGTGTCCCTAGAAGTTCAGAGAGGAAGACTTTCTGAACTGAGGCACTGCAGTTTTTGTGCAGGGATTATGGAGAGAGTGGTGTTTCCCTGAAGTTCACATGTTGATATCTTCACCCGCAGTGTGTCACAAAGAGACTGTATTTGCAGCTAAGATCTTTAAAGAGATTAAAGCTCAAGTGGCCCCTAACCCAGAACATCTCTGTATGGAGAGGAAATCATGGTGCTATGATGTACACCTGTAATCCCCAGAACATGGGAACTGAGCAGGAGGACACCAAGTTAGAGCAGCCTGGGCTACACAGAGAAACTCTGAGAGAGAGAGAAAAATTTAGGTTTCACAAGACCGTGTGAGGATGCAAAGAGGGTGGCTATTCCCAAGCCAAGGGAGAATGCCAAAAGAATGTGTTCTGATAGAGACTTAGATCCCAGAATGTGAAGAGATAGATTCACTTCTGCTGTTTGAGCCCCAGCTGTGGTAGTTTTGAAGTGGCCATGGACTTTAATGAGACCAGTTCTTCAAGCAAGTAAGAATGACTGAGTTTAGCCAAAAAGTCACAAAACTATAAAGCCAAGCCACCCATTACCTCCTTATCTCCTTTTTCTGAAGACCTTGATCTACAGTGATGCTGGTGCTCTGGAGAGACCATCCTCCCAGAGGGTGGATCCCAGTTCTAATCCTCCCCTCTCCTGGTAGCACCAAGACACAGCATTGTAAGGACCATGAGTGGCTTCTACAAGAGCTTCCAGGGAAGCCAGGAGGCACCATGAGGCGCTATGGTAGTTTGAGTGGGAATTCCCCCATAGGCTCACAGGCTTGAACACTTGTTCCTCAGTTGGTGGAACTGTTTAGGAAGGATTAGGAGGTGTGGCCCTGTGTGAGATTCCCAGTGCTCTTAATCTGTTTTATGACTGTGGATTAGGATGTGAGCTCCCGGTTGTCCCTTAGCATCATGAACTCTAACACTCTGAAATAGTACACCAAATTACTCACTTTCTTCTCTGAGTTACATTGGTCATGGTAGGCACCAATAGGCAGGAATCCAGGGGTCCTTACTCCTGCTTATTACTTCTTCAACATCTATTTGTAATTTGGTTTAATAAATAAATACCTTGAGAGCTTCTACAGAAGAAATGGGAAAGCACTCATTTTCTGTGACCATGCGACCATGGAAGAAGGTGATGGAGAAAGACATACTTATAATTCTCCATCACTCTCTTATCTCTCACTGAGCCAGGCCAGCTTGAACCCAAGACTTGAGACTGGTAGGCTCCAGAGTAAGCCATAGAATGACCCAGCACATGTTATCACAGCTAAAGGCAGACATGCTGCCATCACAGCTAAAGACAGACATGCTGCCATCACAGCTAAAGACAGACATGCTGTCATCACAGCTAAAGACAGACATGCTGTCATCACAGCTAAAGACAGACATGCTGTCATCACAGCTAAAGACAGACATGCTGTCATCACAGCTAAAGACAGACATGCTGTCATCACAGCTAAAGACAGACATGCTGTCATCACAGCTAAAGACAGACATGCTGTCATCACAGCTAAAGACAGACATGCTGTCATCACAGCTAAAGACAGACATGCTGTCATCACAGCTAAAGACAGACATGCTGCCATCACAGCTAAAGACAGACATGCTGCCATCACAGCTAAAGACAGACATGCTGCCAGACTGCTGCAACCCCTCTTCCCTTCTTGGTAGAAACTCTCCTTGCCTATGTGTAGTGAGCACGTTTTATGTTTTTATAATGTGAAAAGTTGCTTCCTTGCTCTAGTGTAGTTCAGTCAGGGTGGACCAACACTGAAGCCTCATCTAGATAAGCAATGGCTACCCAGAAAACCCTGAGTATTAAAGACTTGAAGCCATGTGCCACCTGCCCAAGAAGTGTGTATATTTGGACTAGAACAATTCTGGACACCAAGAAGACCCTGGGGGTTGATGGGTGACATGGGGGAGGGGAGCCCAGCAGCCTTACAGGTAGGAATGTGTCCTGCTGTCCAAGCCCTGAGTCTCATGGGCATGGCTACGGAAGGTTAATGATGAAGGAGGTAGCCCCCTGGAAGAGCCATTTCAAACTCAGGGAGTACTTGATGCCTTTCAAAAGCAAGAACTCTGGGCCCTAATTATCAGGGGTTTGTGACTCAGTTCACCACAGTAACTTCCCTGGTCAGTGTATGCTGTATTCTGATGGTTTATTGCTGTCTGAACACACCATCTAATCCAGGTTCGTACCTGAGAAGGGGAATGCAAATTGAGAAACGAAGCAGACAAGAAATGAGATAGTTAGGAGGGCACCTGGTGAATACCAGGATCAGCCCAAGTTTATTGTTTGAAGATCTTTTATACACCCATCAAAAGGGGGGGGAGAAGGCAAAAGACTTCTTTTCCAATGATACAAGGAACAGAGTAATTACCTCTTCAATACCCAAAACATCAAGTAACTATGTCCTGAGTTAAGTATTCTGTTGTTCAGGCAGGACATGCAGCAACCACCATAGGCCAAGCACCCTTTGCATTTACATCTTAGGCCAGACAGCTTTGTTGTTTCATCTTGGAGGAGCAAGCGCAGGCAAAAACTCTCTGGCCTTAAGTCAAAATGGAATGGAGTCAATTCTGTGGGTTCCCACATGTCACC